AAAAAAAAAAAGAGATCTAAGATGGAGGGGAGTTGGCTAATGTAGTAATGATTTTAGAGTGCACAATAGAAGGGGATGGCAGAAAACTGAAGGACCCAGAGAGTAGTAGAGCAGAGCAAGATGAGAAGGACATTTGGGAAGAAGGAAATTTTTACCCAAGCAGCCCAAGAATCACAGGAATGGCCACTCAGTCTCAAAATATTAAGGAGCTGGGGATGGAGGTGGAAGGTATTTCCATAAACACCTGATGAATGGGTTCCTCAGGCACAGCATGAGCTCTGGAGACCCTTCCCAAGATATCCACAAAGGACACATTCAGAGGATATCTCCCTTTGGTATTGCTCCACCCCAAACACACAGAATAGGTATTATGCTCTAGGTCTGAAGGAAGAAGCCTTGGTCCAAGAAACACTGGTCCTGGTGGTACAAGACCTATTCTTAAGACCAATATGCCCAAAATGAGGAGAGACATTTAGCTTTGGTAATTCATCTAAAAAGACTCAAAACTTCGTTGGAATAAGTTTCTGGGTCGCAGCTCCTCAATAAGTTCACTGCTATCAAACTTAATCTACTTGCAAGGGAGTATTAGATCTGAATTCTTTAACATCTCCAGTGCTGGTGCCTAATCCTAAATAACTTCTTCTCATTACTCATTTGTAATAGAATCCACATTAACTAAAGGCCTGATTTCTCAAATATATAGAGAACTGAGTCAAATTTATAAGAATACAAGTCATTCTCCAATTGATAAACAGTCAAAGGATATGAACAGGCAGTTCTCAGATGAAGAAATCAAAGCTAGCTATAGCCATATGAAAAATGCTATAAATTACTATTGATTAGAGAAATACAAATTAAAACAACTCTGAGATACCACAGCATACCTATGAGATTGGCTAATATGACAGAAAAGGAAAATGAAAAATGTGGGAGGACATGAGGGAACATGGGGACACTCAAGCACCTCTGGAGTTGTGAACTCATCCAATCATTCTGCAAAAGGGCTATAAAACCACGCATAACTTTTGACCCAGCAATACCATTACTAGAGATTAAAAAAAAAAAAGGAAAAGGACCTACATGTACAAAAATATTTATAGCAGCTCTTTTTGTGGTAGCAAAGAATTGGAAATCAAAGGGATGCCTATCAATTAGGGAATGGCTGAACAAACTGTTGTATATGATTGTAAAGGAATACTATTGTGCTATAAAAAATGATAAGCAGGATGCTTTGAGAAAAACCTGGAAAGACTTACACTGATGCAAAGTGAAGTAAGCAGAACCAGAAGAGCGTGCACAGTAATAGCAATATTGTAAAGTGATCAACCCTGATGACTAAGCCATTCTCAGCAGTACAATGATCCAAGAAAATTCTGAGGGACTTAGGATGAAAAATGCTATCCATCTCCAGCGAAGAACTGAGGGAGTCTGAATGCAGCTCGAAGTACACTTTTTCTTTACTTTCTTTATTTTTCTTGGATTTTTTTTGGTCTGTTTTCTTTCACAACAACACTAATGTGGAAATATGTTTTGCATGACTGCACATGTATAACCTATATAAAATTGCTTGCCTTCTCAAAATGGGGGGGAAGGGAAGGAGAGAGGAAGAGAATTTGGAACTCCAAATTTATAAAAACAAATGTAAAAAGTTGTTTTTATCTGTAATTGGAAAAAAATAGAATATTAAAATTAGAATCCTCATCCACCCCGAGATATCCTTGACCTCTCGCCCCCAAATGCCTCAGGAAGTCAAAGTACTCACCAAGGGATAGCAGGAATAAACAATAGTTTTATATATTATGATTTAGAATGTATGATTTGCTACTTCCTCCACCATCAGAAAGTAAGAACTTTCAGGCCTCTGATCCTTGGTGTTACATAATAGTAACCCCTTTGACCTTACAAACTGAAATGTGATGCAAGAAACCTTCCTAAATTTCCTTCCGCTTAACAGGGTTTTTTTTTTTAACCCTTTTTGTACCATCAACTCTCTGGAAGTTTGGTGAAGCCTATGGATTCCTCAGAATGTTTTAATATGCACAAAATAAAATACATAGCATTTCAAAGGGAAACTTTGAATTGACATCTTGTTTTGAAATAGTTACAATTCTTTTTTTTTAAATTCGCAGACCACGTAAAGAAACTCTGAAGGTAAGGAGGCTTGTATAGCTTTGAGACAAGATGCCTAAGACGCTCCCTTATCAACAATCTCCAACACCTTTTTTGGGGGGGCATCGTTCCCTGGGGGGTGGTTTGGGGCTATGTGTCGGGGGTGCCTGGGAGTGTCTGTTGGGGTAGTGTGTTTGTGCAGCATTGGGGGGGTTATCCAGAGAGTTTGTGGCGGGGGAGGGGAGGTATTTGGCACGTGTATTAGGAAGGTAGTAAGGGTGTCTAGGTGTGTGCGAGGAGCCATTAAGAGTGGAAATATTTGGGCAGAGGTGGGTGTGTTTGGGGAGTGTGTTGGGGTTTTGAGTGTGTGTGGAGCGCTGTTTGGATGCATGTAGGGCCTTCTCAGGGTGGAAGTATTAGCCCTTTGGGTGTGTTTGTATAGCCTCTTCAGGTTCTGGGTATATATTGTGTTTTTGGGTGTGTTTGGGGAAGGTGTATGTGTTGGGGAAAATGTGTTTGGGTGTCTGTGGGGAGATTTTGGGGGGGAGTATTTGCGAAATGTTGGGGGCCTTTGGGAAGTGTCTTGGGGTTCTGGGTGTACTCGGGGCAGTGTTTGTATATTTGTTGTGTATGGGCGTGTGTTGTGTGTCTGGGGGTGTGTACGTGTGCCCGTCTTTTGGGATGTGCTTCTGTATGTGTATGTGTCTGTGTGTGTCTGCGCCTGGGTGTGTGTGCTGGGGCCGTGCTCCCCCCGCCCGCTCACCTCTTTTGTCCAGCAGCCACATGAAGGCGAAGCAGGGCAGAAAGCCGATGGGCCCCCAGAGCACCAGCAGCGCGATGTCCCAGCTGGAGAAGCCGTAGGCCCGGCGAGCCGAGTTCTGGATGGGGCCCCAGGTGTTCCACACCAGGCCCTGCAGGAAGGCCAGCAGCGAGAAGAGCAGCAGCACCAGCCAGCGCCGCCGGTACACGCGCCCGGGCCCGGCCAAGAGCTGCGCCGGCACCGCGGTCACCACCGGAGCGGCCCCTCCGCGCTCTGCGGCTGGGGCCCGGCTCCTCCCAGCCGCCCCGGCGCCAGCCCCGGGCCTGGGCCGTAGCAGCGGCCGCCGCTCCTCCTCCTCCTCCTCCTCCGCGATGCTCCAGCTGGAGCCCATGGCGACGCGGGGCCGGCTGCCCGCCCTCGAAGCCGGCTGCCCCTTACTCTACCCTGCCCTGCTCACGCTGGCGGCTGGAGCCGGAGGCGGCGGGCTCACTCCTTCCTCCTTGCTCCGACGAGCAGACGAGCCAGATTCCCGGAGTCCTACTCACGCGCCTGCGCAGCGCGAACCGGCCCGGGTGCGGGAGCCGGCGTTGGGGGAGGGAGGAGCAGCGCGCGGAGTCCGCACTCTGGAGCCAGCTCACCTGGTTCCCGCTCCTCCAGCTTACTTGCGGATTGGGAAACCGGCTCTCGGGGCCACGGGTCGAGGAAGTGCCCGGGGCGTGCGTTATGTGTTTCGTGAACAGCTCAGCCGAGTGGCATCGACTTATTTGTAACTTCATGGAATCACGGGACTGGAAGGGACATGAGGTCATCTAGGGGAGATAAACTAGGATCACTTTCAGGCTCTTCAGCCCCTCGTATCAAAGTTGAGGAACCTGAGTTCCACAGAAGCAACACCAACTGGTGGCAGAACTGGGAGGCGAACCTAGGCTCCCCCGAATCTTAGTCCTTTTATGTTGGTACTTGTTTATTGGATTTATACATCCTAAAAAGCTGCAGGCAACATTTATTAGGCGCTTACTTAACAGGCAATGTAATAAGAGCTGGGCGTAGAAATACAAGCAAAAAGACAGTCCTTGACCTTAAGCAGGGAAGGCAAAGAAAGCATCCAAGGGAGTTTTTAAAAAGCTGTGTGGAGGGGAGCGAGATGGGGGATGATGGGAGATAAAAGCAGAAAGGCCCAAAAAGATTTTTACAGAAAAATATCTTGTTCCTCCTAGTTTCCTTTTTTGTTTTCTTCCCCCTCAAAACTCTTGAGTTCCTTCGGTAATTAGCTGTCTGTAATGCTTATACATCCTTTATCATACTTATTTTTTTTCACGTATTTTAAGGGCATACGAGATTATAAATTCCTCGAGCACAGGAAGCATATTTTCTTTGTATTCGAGGCAATCAATATTTATTGATCGATTGACCAAAGAGGCTCTCGATAAAGTTAACGGGTAAACCGGAAATTGTGTGTGACATCCAGCTCGCTAGTTTGAATATGCAAACTCAAACCTGACGGCCTGTTTGTAGGTAACCCACTTCGGGTGACCTGCCCTTTCAGGAGAGGCAAATGAGTCACACCACGAATAAAGAAGCACACCATATCTGAACTTCGCGTCCCCAGGCCCGTATTTAAGCCGCCGGGCCGGGGGATCCCGTCATCCGGGCCAGGAGACAAAGGGTGGCCGGCCCGAGAAATCACCAAGGGGAAGAAGCCAGGAGACTCAGAGAGACCCACGCGGCCGCTTCTTCTCCCTCTGGCCTTCCCTAAAATTCAAGCACGAGCCCTCTTGAATGCAGTCAGAACTAGAAATAGAAAGGGAATAGAAAACGGGAAGTTTGAAGCAAAGCGAGAGTACAGCAGAAGCATTAGACCCGAAGGAGGAAGGAGTGTCCACAACAGAGGGGAATACAAACAAAACCCACGTGTCCCACGTTTCTTCTTCAGGGAAGAAAAATAAACAACCCCACGTGGTCCTGCCTCCGCCCTCCCTTCCCCCCACCCCCCCGGGCTGGGTGGGTTGGGCTATGGGTCACGTGACCATCGCCGAGCCCGAGACTGCACCGGGAGGTGCCACGTGATCGGCGCTGAGCGTTTGGACGTTTCCGGGGCATCTTGGGTAACAATGCCGGAGTGATCGCGCTCGCATCCCACGGGACCACTGAGGAACCTGGGAGTGAAGTAGTCATGACGACCGCGGCGGGAGCCGGTCGGGACAGCGGTGGTGGCGGAGAAGGTAGGTGCGAAGCTAGGTCAGGCCCTCTAGAAGGCCTAGGACCCTAAGAAATGAGGAAGGGAAAGAAGTGGGCAACAGCCTGACTCCGGGCTTCGGACTCCTTCCCAGTGGTGCGGGCCCTTTTGCTCCATGGACTGATGTTGCTTGAGTGCTCTTTAGACCAAGCCGCCCCTGACGTCGTGGGGAATGAGAATTGTATTTTCGTGATTCTTCTTTTAATGAGAGAATCCTCTCTTGCATGTAGAATAAAGCATATACATCTGGGTCATTTGCAGTCGGGATCTGGGTTTACTGGCAACAGAACGTTTATTTATTACTAAGCGTTTACTGTGTTCCAGGTACTGTGCCACGCTCCATCTCCCTTCTTTGTCCAGGGCTCCGCGAATACCTGCAAATACTCTCTTTACCTCTTCGCCTCAAAGTCCCTCTTTTGCTTTAAGATGCAACTCAGGTACCCTCTCTCTTTCTGCAGGAAGCCTTTCTCCAACTGGAGTACTTTCTCTTTCAAACTATCCATACTAAAAAGTGAATAGAACGCTGGGTCTGGAGTCAGGTGTGACTTCAAATGTGACTTCAGACACTTACTAGCTGTGTGACCCTGGGCAAGTCACTTGATCCCTGTTTGCCTAAGTTTCCTTCTCATCTGTAAAATGGGGACAAAGTAGCCACTTTTTCCCGAGGAATGTTGTGAGGATCAAATGAAATAATTGTAAAGCACTTGACACAGTTCCTGGCATGTAGTAGGTGTTGTGTGTGTACACACACACACACACACACACACACACACACATATATGTGTATATATATATATATATATATATATATATATATACCTATATGTAATATGTGGTTTTTTTGGTGAGGCAAAGGGGTTAAATGACTTGCCCAGGGTCACACAGCTAGTGAGTATCATGTGTCTGAGCCTGGATTTGAACTCTGGTCCTCCTGACTCCAGGGCTGGTGCTCTGTCCACTGCACCAGGCACTGTATATTTTAGCTATTATTATTACCTTGTATTTAACCACTTTGGGTATGTAAAGTTAGTAAAAAACATTTGTACATACATAAAAAACATACAAATATACATACATGTATATACAGGGTGTTCCAAAAGTCTCAGTACAGTTTTAAGCTATTAAAACTTAAAATTGCACAGATTCTTTTGGAATAACCTGTGCTAATTATATGCTGAATATATTTTTATATGTATTTGGCTCTTCAGTTAGAGTATAAACTCATTTTCAATAGGGATCCTTTAATTCTTTTGCATCCCTGATGCCTGGTCCAGTACAGGCATTTAGTAAATGCTTGTTGAATGATTGAAAACAGTCCTTGCCCTCAAAGAGCACACATTCTAGTGGGGAAGAGTGTAAATAAATTTGGAATATAAAAGAATTTTGTATGTATGTTGTGTATATATACACATACACACACATCAGAATAAGTATTCTGAGAGTAAGGTGCTAGCATTTTGGGGGAATAGGAAAGACCTGGCATCTGAGCTGTTTTGAAAGAAGCTGAGGAAGCCAAGAGCAGGATTTGAGGAGCAAAGTGTTGTGGGTGTGGGGGACAACCAGTACAAGAGCAGAAGAGTGTAGTCTGAAATAAACACAAGTTGCAGGTCTACTTAGCTGGATTATTGAGTGTGGGGAGGGAAGTAACATGTAAAAATACTGGAGAGTAGAAAATGGACAAACAGGCTGAAGAACTTTAAATGGCAGAGGACCTTATATTTAATCCTGGAGGCAATAAGGTAGCCACTGGAGTTTATGGGCTTGGGGGAGTGGGATTGGAGGCATGATCAGATCTCTTTTATGAAGATCACAGGCAACCAATTGAAGCAAGTTTGCTAGAGGTCTTAACTGCTAACTAAATGATTAGGAAAGTAGGGTCAGGTGAGTCTTGAATGTAGGCAGCACTTTGTAGACTGCGCTAGTAACAGGTCCGTAGATCTTTCTGAAACATTTTCTTTGGCTGTCATCGTAGGAGGTATGAATCCTCTATCAGTAGTCTAGTTTATTTCTTCAGGAAAAACAAGGCTCACATAAAAAAAGAATAAGGATATACAATGAGACAAATGTGTGCACTAAAATAGGGACTGGACCTGTGATTTCGTTAGTATAGGGAACTCCCAGATGAAGAAAGTCCTTTTACCAATTTGGGTCTGTATTTTCTTTGCATCTTTGACCTTTATTTGTGGCCTAGAGGAGAGGTAGCAAACACCTGGCCACATTCAGCTGACAGCAGTTTTAGGTGGGACCCAAACCAGATTAAAATGTAATTGGGAAATATTTAACAAAATAAGGAAAAGTATAATACAATATAGGTAGTATTACATTTTAAAACTAAGTCAGCACGTGGCCCACAGTGATCCTTATGTATGGATCAGTGGCTCTGAGTTTGACACCCCCCTGGCTTAGAGGACTGATGGGTTTGGATGGGATACCCAGGGTCATACAGCAGCAAGGTTTGAACCCAGGTACTTTGGGCTCTGGGGCCAGCTGTCTTAACTGTTAGGCACTCTTGCCTTTCACTTGTACATTAAGTATGAGTAAAAAGTATACGTTCTGTAATGGTAAAGAATGTGAGGCTTAGACCTTAGGGGACTATTACAATTAATAAATATTTGTGTTCCTATGTGAGGGCATAGTGATGTATCCTTTGAGGGGTAGGGATACAAAATTAATCAACATTAAGTACCTCCTATGCTCTGGGCACAGTGCTAAACTCGGGATACAAATACGAAGAAAAAGAAAATCCTTACCCTTAAGAAGTTTATACTGTAATGGCAAGCTGAGGAGGGAGGGGTAAAAAAGATACCAGTAGCTGGGGCACGAAGGAGCTTCCCAAAGAAGTCCAAAAGCAAGTGTAACTGGTGGGAAATGGAGAGAAAAGCTGTGCTGAGCCCTCCTTTCAAAAGAGGCCCTGGAGGCCATCACTCTGCCCTAGTCAGAGAGTTCATTGAGAAGTTCAGAGGTATTGAGTACAGGCAAATTGAATCTTACAGGATAATGAGATTTTCCAATGATTTTCTTGGGGAGGGAAAGCATGGGGGAGAGTTCCAAGAGTCTTTGACATGGGGATAGGGACTGGGCTTGTGATTTAATCCATATGAGGAAATTTCCTTCTAATGCAACTTAAAGAGTTAGCAAGAAAGAGCACTGAGAAGTTAAATGACTTGGCCCAGCTTTCCTTGCTGTCCTCCTGACTCGTCTCCATAGGGCTTTTTATACTATGTCTCCCCCTTCAGCTCCCTTTTAGGTGTTGTCTTCTCCCACTAGAATGCAAGGGCTATCTTTTTGCTTATGTTAATATTTCTAGCACTAAGCACAGTGCCTGGCACAGTTAACTTGTTAGCTTGTTAACTTATTGACTTTGGGTCGCTCAGTGTGGGACTTGAATGAACCCAGGTGTTGCTGGCTCTCCCTGTCCACTACCCCTGTTGCTTTTCGCTTGTCTGAAGGAGTTTAAAATCTTGTTAGGAAAGAAGTAAACATGTAAGTTAAATGTTACTATAAGAGACAACAGGTCTAAATATTATCTCGTAGGATTAATACAAGAGATAGTGCAGAGCATTGATTTGACAAATTTGTAAGGCATTATTAACCTCCAAGTCCTATGGTATTATGATGGTAAAGGTATTGAATACTGTGTAATTTTAGATAGAGAATCACTGTGGCCTGGATTGGGCCCACATTTAAGTTGGCTTCAGATAATGGAAAGATGGGACAATGATGTCAGCAAAGGCACAACTGTGGAAAAATTCCAGGGCTTGTCTTGTAAACAGTGAGTTTAACTAGCTGTGAAGTTGAAGGTTTGGTGATAAGGCTGGAAAGGTAGATTTGGGCCAGATTCTAGAAGACCCAGAGTGTCAGCCTAAAGAATTTAGATTTAATAATGGGCAATAACAAACTGTTTTAAGGTTTTAAGCATGGGTGAGACAATGTAGAGTTTTAGAAATCACTTGTTTGAAGGTGGAAATAGACTGACAAATGGTTGCTTAGTTATTCTTCCTAAGACGCATGTCTTCAGAAAGCATTCATTAGCTCCAGGTTGCCTCTGAGATAAAATATAAATTCCTTTGCCCCAGGGTTCAAGGCTCTCCATAATCTGAATCCAGCCTTTCTTTCTAACTTAATCATAATACCCTTTACACACAGTCTTTTCTAGACACACTGGACTATCTGAATTCAGAATCCATCTCCTACATCTGTGCATTTGTATAAGTCATCCTCTAGGCCTAACATGTACATAACTCAGCTCTGCCTCTCAGAATACTTATCCTTCTAGGTTTAGTTCTGGTTCCAGCTCCTGCTTGAAACCTTGCCTAATTCTTCCAGGTGTTAATGCCCTCTCTTTCCTCAAATTACCTTGGCATTTATTATATTTTATGTACATTTTTTATTCCCTCTTTCCTACAATAGAATGGAAGCTTGATATTAGTTGTTACAGTAAAAATATCCCCATTAAGTTCATATGATAGGTAACTGCTACCAGATAACTAAACTATCACAGTTCACAAATTCTAGAGGTTAAAACCTAGGTTTTATTATGCTTGAGCACAGATTCCAGGATCAGAAAAATAACAAAGATTAGGATTCTAATGAAGATTTTATAGAGAAAAAATGTCACAGAGAGATGTAATTTTTAACATTTAAGAGTCTTGAAATCCTCTCAGGTCATAAAAATCACACAGACCTCTAGTCAAACAGACTTAGTTACTTATTGAAAGTTATTTCCAAGGTTCAGAGTTTACAGTGGGTTAATTGAGAGGGCTTCTTGATTTAGAGGTAGGGGGATCCTTCCACAGAAAAGTAGGTTCAGTTACTTTGGGGAGCCCAAACTTCCTTTTGGCTTATCTCAGGAATGTAACTGGTTTCAGCCAGGTTGGTAACCTAACTAGGAGAAATGGCCTTGTACCCCAAAGAACAAAGATTAATAAAAGGAAGTAAAAAATTGTTGTAATACTGGCGCTGTTTCATTTTTGTAGTGAGAATTAAACCAGCATTGTTCCAGATGCTGAAGATGCAAACACAAAAACAAAACATTCTCACTTCATTTGATAGATGAAGCCCGGAGAGGCAGCAGCTTGTCAGTGTTCATCCCAGTAAGTTCTAGAGCCTGGACTTGGGCCTGAATCTTCTCATTATAAAGATTCTTACCTAACCCTCGGTTATATGTTGTTACCAACTGTGATATCAGCTGTGGACCTATAGGTAATTCTCCTGGCCATTTTGAGCTTTAGTTTTCCTCATCTGTACAGTGGAGATAATAAGAGTTAACGCCGTTTACCTTGCAGACTTGTCCTGAAGAAAGCACTTGGCAAGCCTTAAAGCATATACAAAGTATTATTGTTGTAATTAAGTATTTAGTATTAGTGTTTAGGACATAGGATTTATTTTTAAAATTTTATCAACAATCACTTCCATAAGCTTTTGAGTTTTAAATTTT